GAGCACCTGCGCTGCGGCGACCCGTGCTGAAGCCGGAAGTGAGCGGGGGCGGAGGCTGTCAGATAGCCAATGAGATCGGGGCCCCGCCGCTGTGACTTCTGGGAAGGGTAGTTTCAGGAGCCGGTGCCGGCACAAGTCAAGGTGAGAGGCCTAGTGCCAAGTGGGATGACGTCACTCTGAACTCTCTAAAAGGCACCTCCCAGTTCTGGCGTGAGCGTGGGTTCGATTCCTCATGCTCCATGTTCCAGACAAAACAGTAACTTTTTGTACACATTATAGAGGCATTTCAGATTTCCATGCATAGAAACCTACACCTAATAGACGGGTTATTGTGGGAGCCGTCCATGGCCCGCTGGCGTTTGACACTGGAAAAATAACTTCTACCATTAAGGCATTGATACAGTCTATGTAACATCTGTTCCTTTTCAAGGACTCTGTTTGTTTATTTGGTTTTTCTGAGACAGGGTCTCAACTATGCAGATGAGACTGACCTGGAGCTCACTGTGTAATCCGGGCTGGTTTTGAACTCACAGTAATGGGATTACAGGTGTGCACCACCACGCCGGGCTCAAGGACTATGTTAAATTTGTTTGTTCTTTGACCCTGTGAAGGGAGGAGCTCAAAGAGATAGCCAAAGATCTGTTGTCCTCTGAAAGAGTCAGAAAATCCGGTCTTTACATACAAATAGTTGCTTGGTGCTTCCTGTCGGTGTGCCTTTAAAAAGAGCTGTTTCTGTAAAATAAATCAGACTTGTCTCCACACTATTGAGTGTGCTGTCTTTTCTCAATCCTCACTCCCCAATTCAGGCATGTTCGTGTTGTGACGGCTGGGCCTCCACAGGTTATAATGAAGGAGGCACAGGAACCTGGAAACCCAGGTCTGAGGGAGAGGCTGGGCCTGGACCCCTGTGTCTGAGGGACGAGGGCCTGAGAACTGGACTCCTGGGCTTGAGGGCATTGAATGATGTTTACTTACAGGTATACTGTATACCCCACTGCTTCACCAGAAAGCAAAACAAAACGAAAAACATAAACACAGCTCTGGTGCAAGACCTGGGCAGCTCACTCAGACACTGACAGGTAGTATTTTTCACTTATCTGATTGGCAGCTACACCTCACCCATCTGATTGCAGATATATTTCGCTTATCTGATTTGGCAGGACTGCAGACAGTGCTAATACCATTTTGGCCAGGATTCCAGGAATCTCCCACTGGGAGGAGTTGCCAGTGAGTGTGAGCCGAGCC